GTGTCTACCCCTCGGGCCTTCCAACCTACATTCCATCACTGAAAGAACTATAAAAAGGGGAGACAACTGCACTTCCACGGATTCCACCTTCTGGGTCCCCTTCTTCCTCCGGGAGAAGTCTTTTCTTCTGTCCTTTAATAAATTTCTAATCTCTACTCTGACCTTGCCTCGGCGTGCTTCTTTGGTGTTATTCTTCAACATCGGGGAGCAAGAACTCGTCACCGGTCAACAGTGGTAACAATACCCAGCCCGTTTTATTTTTTATTTTGAAACATGGGCACCCTCTTTGATAACTGTCACCCATTTCCCTCTAGATCAGTGTTTATAGTGTCTCTTTCTTTTGTTCTTTATTATTAGTACATCCTGCTCTGCTTACCTCCTAGCCTAGCCTGGCATAAGAGGAAATTATGGGAAAAGGAAAACTATCTCCAATTTTCCCACATTTCTCAACCACTTATATGTTAAAAATACCAGTTCCACAAACAAACAATTAACCTCAGAAAAACCTAAATGATTAAGTGACTTTTATAGCAAAGAAAAAAAATGTAGGAAATAGTAATGGTAGACTGCACTTAAAGGCTGTAGGTATCAAAAAATTACATTTAGTAAACTAGTCAGAAAATATCCTCCACCACCCCCAACGGAGGCTATTAAAAATTTATGTACAAAGGTCCTCACACATTGCTACTAAGAATATAAAACAGTGCAGCTGCTTTGGAAGACAGTCTGACAGTCACTCAAACAGTTAAACAAAACATATCCAGGGACTGTGGAAGCAGATCAGTGGTAGAATGCTTTCCTAGCATGCATGTAGCCCATGGTCAATCCTCCAGCACTCAAAAAAAAAAAATGTCCAAACAAAATCATGCACATAAATATGCATATAACATTATTCATAGTAGCCAAAATATGGAAATGACCCAAAGATCCATCAACAGACAAATGGATGGTAATCTGTGGTATATCCATGAAATGAAATATGATTCACACATAAAGAGGAATGAATTACTGATCCGTGCTACAATGGTGAACCTCACACCGTTATCCTAAGAGGATGAAGCCAGCCATAAAAACTAATATATATATATATATATATATATATATATATATATATATATATATATATATATAATTGGAATACCTGGGTGTCAAAATTGCTCCCTGATAAAGGGGCAAAGGGGCAAACATGTTTCCTGAACACTACAAAATCATTTCCAAGATATCAGATCGGTGCAGGGCAAAGACACTGTGGTATAATAGGAAATATATTTGACCTTTGTCCCTGGCTCCTCCCCCAGAGCTCCTAAAACCACTGCAATTTCCTGAGTGATAGCAGTGCACTCTGCTGTTCCATAACAAGCCTTCATGAGCACACCTGAGCTTATGCTAATGAGGCAACTTAGGGCAGGACCCCTAGATAGCTTCAGAATGGGGCTATCACCAGAAAGATCTTTCTAACCCACCAGTCTCCATGAGAAGAAGGAGCAGTGCAGAGTGGAATCAATCTTTATAAAAGATGTGAAGAGTGTTACTAAATCCATGAAGGTGCTAGGAGGGTGGCTCACCCAGAGGGTGCATGGAAGTGCCACACCCTTCCCTCTCACCTTACCTCTGTGCCTCTTCATCTAGCTATTCATGTGCATCCTTGCACCCTTTATAGTAAATGGGTTTATGTTATTTATTCTATTTTATCTTAAAATTTATTATAATGTCCTTTAAAATAAGTAAGAGTTTTCCTGAGTCTTGAGAGCTGAGTTAGCAAGTTAATTGAGCTCAAGGAGAGAGTTATGGGAACCCTGACTGGTCAGCAATATAGATGACACCTACAACTAGCAGTGTATCTGAAGTGGGGGCAGTCTTATGGGACTGAGTTCTCTGCCTGAGTGATTGACACTACCTTCAAGCATATAGCATCACAACTAGATCAATTTATAGGACATTCCGTTGGTGTCCACTGGAATGTTGGTGTGGGGAAAACCTCACAAAATTTCCTGGCTTCTGGAAAAGCAGCTTTCTCTTCCAAATGATCCATTAACATGGTTATGCGTTGCAACTTAGAGAAACACATCACTGCTCTTGGACAGAAATGTAAAAATCAGAGAATGAGTTGTAAGGATCTGTAGGTATGTAGTTTTAGGAAAGATTTTAGGGAATCTTCCAACTGGGCAGGGAAGGGAGAGCTAGTACAGCTACACCTCCAGAAGGACATTAAAACACATCCAAGTCAACCTAGGCTCCAACCTCACCTCTTCTCCTTTCTAGTTCTGGTCCTAAGTCGGGGATCTCAATTCTGTGGGCATCAGGTTCCTTCTCTGTAGCATGTGGCTGGATTTGTGTACTTCCCCTGAGCTTGGCCTTTCACTATTCAGGACCTGTGAGGCACACTAGGACTAACAGTCACCTGTGGTTGGAGGTTGACGGAGGGGCCCCAGCTCGACCCTCGTGAGCCACGCTGCTGTGGCAGAGGTTTCAGATTGTAGTACAGAGTTCTCAACCTTGGCTAGACATTCATATCACTGCAGAGATTTTAAAAATGCCAACTCCAGGGTTGTCCCTGAGCTTCTTGTGTTGGTTTTAGGAGTAATTCCAAGGTATAGTCAGGGCCAAGAATCACTGGTGAGCAGGAGACCCCATTCTAGGCCCAGCACTGCCCTTCACTTGCTTGTGACCTCGAGGAAGTAATTTTCTCCTGGGCCTTAGTTTCCCTTCCTGAGAAATTAGTGTTTTGAGTTATACTGGTCTCTGAAATTCACCATCTAATGTTACTCAGCCAGAGTCTTCATAGTTCAAGGTTAATTAAAAGGCAAGAATAGGCCAAAGGAACTCACCTGACCACACTTCTGCTCCTCGCTGAAGGCCACCAGAATGACAGAGATAAATAGATTCAGCACCACAAATGTCATGAAAATAATGCAGGACCCAATTAGGAAGGAACCAAGCACAGGACTGTAGCTCAGCACCTGAAAGTAAGAAGGCCATCCATTCCTGGTATCCTTTGTGCAAGCTGCCACCCCATTCCCTAGGACCATAAGAGGGAAATTGGACCTTGGAGCTGGGCAAAGAAGTATGGGCAGAGCTCTCTGGAGCTAGCCCAGGGAAGGGAGTCGGGGGTGGGGTGGCCCTCCTGCCCACCACTACTTCCTCTAAAGACAGGTGCTGGTCCTGACTACTGCCAAGAATACTCCTGTTGGAGACCCCCAGCATAGTCCTCCTGAGCATCCACTGCCTTGTGTTCTGTGTGCAGGGGTCTCCAGGGCAGGCTGCCTAGACAAAGGGGAACATATGACCAAAGCTGCCCTGTGCTTGCCAGGCCATGGACCAGAAGGATGAGGGGGGTGGTGGGGAGAGATTTTTCTACTTTTCACAGAGACACAGGGTGGTTGCACAGTCCGCCCCACCATTACCTCCTCATAGTTGAAGATTCCTAGCTGAAGGCTGATCATCGTTTCTGCTGCATCAAAGAGGGTCTTGTAGGAATGGAGTTTCCAACCAAATATTAAGTTTGACTATCATAGAAAGAGACCTCATGAGCAGGGAAAAGAGCATGAATCCCCAAATCCTGCTGTTTGACACAGTAGCCTATGTTAGCTACCTCCTTGGTCTGGCCTGGCCAAGCTGTCCATACCCACCCAGACATGCAGGTGGTGTATATACTTCCAGTTTTGTGTGGAATGTGTGTTTTTCTCTGTGGGCCTTTGCATACAAGACCACATGTGTCCTGTGTGATTGCATGGACCTGTACACCTGTGGACATCATACCTGCATACCTATGCTGTGTGCATGCAGGCACCCATCACCTAAGCCCCTGCTGCTTTCACCAGATGGCTATGCAAAGAAAGTAGGGAAATTGGACATTATGATGCCCCACCCTCTTTCCTCCGGGGCAGTTGGATTGGATGGACAATGGGCTTTGCCCATCTGGGCATGGCTTTCCCCTCAACACACAACCCTTTCCCAGATTTTCCCAGGGCTGCGGTGTCAGAGGAAGGCCCAAAACCACATGGCTCTGAGTTGGTGACTTCTGGCCCCAGAGGACACTGCAATGTCCTTGCACTGCAAATGGCAGACTGAACAAATTGACATGAATTAGAGCATTTGAATAAAACCACCTCTTTCAGCATACACCCTCAACCAGACCACTCCATCGGTGTGCTCTACCCTGTTTTTGAGGTTGGGACAGGAAGAAAGAGGTGGGGGCAGAGATGACAGGGATACCAAAGGGTTGAAGGTAAAGGCAGAGTGGGGACTAGAATGTAGTGGACGTGTGGTCAGGGAAAGGTGGGAGATAGGAGACTAGATGTGGTCAAGGTGAGAATGAGAAGGGGTCAGGATCAACATAGGGCTAAAGAGTCAAAGATGAGTGGGGGGCAGGAGTATGATGGAAATTGTGGATTAGCTGAGCATCAGGATTGGGGTTCATATGTGGATGGAGATCAGGATGTGGCCGGGTTGGAAGAGGGTCTTAGTTTCTCACATTACTTGGTAATAAGAAAGAGTTGAATGTTTTTATGGTTTTTTTGTTCTATTTTGTTTTCCAGTCATTAAAGATGTGATTGTCAGAATGTGCTCAGTGTTAAGGGGTTGAATGAAACAGCATTGATCCTGCTAAATTCAGACCTTATGTCTGTGGCAACAGTGCTGACATGGCCTGTGGACAGTCAACCCTCACTTCCCCATCCCTACCCTAACTCAAGGACAGGGGTGACCCAGGTCATCCACCAGCACAGTAAGAGTGCTCTATGCCTGCCTGGACATTAGCCCTGTGCCTTCGGAACAACTGGATATCAGGAGAACAGGCAGAGTCTAGCTGCAGAAAGGAATCCATCATTGGAAGGAGTTGGGCCCTTTCAGTTCCAGAGCCTATGCTTCCTCACTCTACTCAACTAAGATCTCTAGTCTTTGCCATTTGATGTGGCCATCTCATGAGCACCCAGCTAAAATACCCAAGACTCAGAAGATCTGCCATCTTCCTCAGGTTCCCAGAGTCTCCCTGGCCCTAACTGTTCACTCCACACCACCTGGTAGCCTTGGCTTCCATGGACATCAGCTCTGGGGTTTTCCCAAAGGAGCCACTCACCGCAATGGAATAAGCCAGGAGCATGATAACAATGATGGTAATAAAGCCTGAAATGTCGCCCCAGGCCCGGCGTAGAGCCGAGGTGATCATGTTCATTTTGGGATTCAACCTGAGAAGATGCCAAAGCTTCACTGTAGACAGGAGTACCAGGAAGGCAATAATGTATCCAAGGGCAGCATCAGCTGCTGCTGTCTCACTGAAACTGATCCCCCTGTGGGAACAAAATGGGAAGTCTGGGTCTTAGAGACCATAAGCAATGCAGCTAAAATCCATCTGGATTCAGGATTAGACACATATTGTCTATGGTCTCAGAGGCTATCAAATCCAGAAACAGATCTCGGGGAGAGAAGTCCAATTCCCCAAACTGGTGATGTTGATGATAGTGATGGTGATGTTATAGTGATGATGGTGGTATATTGATGATAGTAATGACAATGGTGATGATGTTGACAATGATGGTTGTGATGTTGAGGATGGTGATGATAGTGGTGATGGTAATGATGATGGTGGTGATATTGATGATAGTGTTGACTATGGTGATGATGATGGGGTGATAATTATGATGATGATGGTGATAATGGGAATGATGATGGAGATGAGAATGGTAATGATATTGGTTGGTGGTATTGGTGAAGATAGTGATGATGGTGGTAGTGACAATGAGAATAATGATGTTAGGATGATGGTGATGATGATGGTGATGAAGATGATGATGTAATCATGAAGGCTATGGTTATGGTGTTCATGAGGCCTTTAATTAGCTGTCTTTATTAAAGGTTGTAGAACTAGGGAGAAAAGGTAAAGGAGGAATCCTTTCAGGATTAAGGGGATAGAGCTAAGAGACATCTTTGAGCCTCCCTCTCCCTGTTTTGAGGCCAGTAGATGCCACCCTCTCTGCACACTTGTCTGAGTGTACATCTATAGCTGCCCTATATTTGAAGGAAGGATCAAAGAAGTATCCATTTGTTGTACTAAGTGAAACTTCATTTGCTTAGTCTCATTTGAACTTCAAGATGAAGTACATCTTTCCAGGCATGGTGATGCATGCCTGTAATCCCACCAACTCAGGAGGCTGAAGCAGAAGGATTGCAAGTTCAAGCCAGTCTCAGCAACTTAGTGAGGCCTTAAGCAACTTGGCGAGACTCTGTCTCAAAATAAAAAAGGCAAGGGAGGTGGCTCAGTGGTTAACTGCCCAGTACCAAAAAAAAAAAAAAAACAAAAAAAAAAACAAAAAAAAAAACAAAAAAAACCATGATAAAGTATAGCTTACTATTTCCTTTTCATAGATAAGGAGAGAAAGTTGGCACAAGGTCACTCAGCTAGTGACATAAACAGTCATTTGTGAGTGGTAAGAGAAGTTGAAACCTACATATGTCTGATTTCTAAATCCAGGCTGTGCCCAACATCACACCTTGTTCCATTCTCTTCTTGTGCCTTTGTACTTTAAATTCATTCTTAACTATAAAGAGAAAATCATATTACAGAAAAATATTGAATGATCCCAAGTTTGTAAAAGCTTAGGAGATATATATATATATATCCTACATTTTATATATATATAAAATGTATTATATGTTATATATAATATTTATGTATTATATATGTTATATGTATGATAATATAATAGTATTTATTATATATCAACATAATACATATTAAATTAACTCCTTAAATTGAGCAATACTTCTAGTATCATATATTATTTTAATATTTTTTATATATAGGGGCTTGGGGATGTAACTTATTCATAGAACACATGTTTAGCATGCCAAAGTGCCTGGGTTCAATTTCCAGGACCAAAAAAACCAAAGTTATATCACACACAGATACACATACATACATTCATGGGTGTGACACAAAGAAGATCTAAATGTTGGTTTGTTGAATGAATGAGACAATGTTAGAGGTTAGGAATAGAGTTCAATTTCTGACTCCAGTATGTATTGGGTGTGTGACCTTGTGCAAACAATTTAACCTCTCTAAGCCTCATTACAAATAATTCTCTTATTTGTAAAAAAGAGAAGATAAGACCATCTCTTAGAAGTCTCAGGAATATTAAGATAGGTAAGAAAGTGCTTTCACAGTGGTTTTGTAGGGCTGGAGATATAGCTCAGCGATAGAGCACCTGGTCAGCATGTGTGAAGCCCTGGGATTTTCATGACAGTGTACAACATCCAGCAATAACTCAATAAATATTTGTTATATCTATAAAAAGAGTGAGACAAGAAACACCATGACCCCAAATAAGCCACAGGGATCCTAGAGCCACATAAGCTAGATTTAAGTTACTTCTCTGCCAAAGTTAAGCTCTATTGTCGTGGGGAAGTCACATGACCTCCCTGAGCCTCAATTTCTGTGTTAAACAGGGCACTGATAACATCATCCTTCATCAGTTCTTATGTATCCTGTGAACACATAAGATATGTATGAACTCACCCTGCATAAGACATAGTGGATGCTTAACATGTTATAGCAGTTGTGGAGCTACTTGGGCTCTAATACTTGCAAGAGCTCCCCCAAAGACCAGGAAGGACTTCAGCAGCATACCACATGGTCCTACATTTTGGTAAGATTTACCAAGGTTAGCTATGTTGTATTTTGTCTTTAAAGAGTCCTCTCCAGTTGTATCTGCTTCAGGCACCACAGCTGAATCTAGGTGGCAACTGCAATTATTTCTACCAGGTGTGTCCCCTGGTCTGCTGAGGTCCACAGGATTTCCAAAGCCTCCCTGACCCCTGGGCCTCAGACAGCTAGAAGGAGGAGAGTCAGTCAGGGAGGGGGGGCAGGGGAGCTAAGACAGTCACTTACTCCTCCCTGTGGCTCCTGTAGCGCTGAAGGTCACGCTCCACAAGGACAGCCCTCTTCACAAACACTGCCAGGGCACTCCAGCTGACCAGGATGATGGCTAGTTCCAGAAGATTCCACTTGCTGCAGAAATAGCCCCACTTCTGCTTCCTCATGAGCTTGCCCTGGGAAAAGAGCCGGAGCTTCTGCTAAAGGCTGCAGACCATGATCACTATCCCCTTACCCCACAGCTGCTCCTGTCCCCACCAGAGGGCTCTCTAGCAGGGGTTACTGATCCCAGCAAGGCTGTCCAGCCCTGGCCCCACCTACACAGAGTGCCTTAAGGCCTCTCTCCAACCTTGTATAGACTTCTCCCCTTGTCCTGGCTGTAGGATTTATAAGAGTAAATACAGTGTCTACTAAGAAAACAACTGAATTCTCTCTGATGCGGCAAAAAAAAAAAAAAAAAAAATAGTGTGTGTGTGTGGGTACTCTCCTCCCACCCTCACTTTTCCAAGAGACTTTACTTTAGAAAACTTATAAACTCTGTGCCCCTTGAAAGTGTACATACATCTTTCCAAAAGTCAAACAAGCCTCCTGCCAGTTTTACAACTCAGAAATGTCTTTCTTAAGGACTGGAGAGCCATCTTTTTGGAAGGCAATTATGAAGGAAGATAGTGCCCCTTCTCAGGGTGTTCTCTGCTTGTGGGGTAGGTGCCCACCTCCTCAGGCTCCTAACTCAAGTGCCAGCCCTTCTCCTGTCATGAAGGCTAAAGCTTATGTTTCCTTTTTATTTAGGCAGTTAGAAAACTATATAGTATATTATACATTGTATATTATATGTATGATAAATATTATAAATATTTACATATAAATATGGTGATTCCCAGGTGAATTTAGAAAGGATGAGGTGACAAATGGTGCAGTCCAGTCCTCTGCTTGAGGGTGCCCGTCACCCCCTTCAGAGCAGGAGTGCTGTGGGTTCTGTCTGCTTCACTGTACTGCAGGTTGTGCTCACCTTCTGTCTTTGCAACCCCTAGAGCCACTGCACAGGACACACCTCACATTCTGGTCTGATGCTTATTCAATAACAAGAGTTGTTTTTCCTCAGGAGGAAGGGGAGTGGTTGGTTGCTTGATGCGTGTGGCTTCGGTTTTGCAAGATGGAGAGTTCTGGAGATGTTAGTGATGGTGGTGGGATGATGGAGAATGTGCTTACTGCATACTTAGGTGTGTGCATAAAATGCAAAGTGGTGAGTTTTATATATACTTCACAGTTAAGAATCAATAATTTAAAACAATTACATTTCTTTCTTTCCTTTCTGTCTCGGGGAGAGGTTTCCTGGACTGGCAGGAGACTGGGTTTAGCCATACTTTCCCAACAAGTGTCCCAAGTCAGAGCTAGTCATCCTGCCAGCCCTCCTCTTCCTCCTCTTCCCCTTCCATGCAGAAGAACCGTGACCTAAGGAGGGGTACTTGTGTCTGGTTAGTGAGGAGGCCAAGTTTGCCTCCATAATAATGAGGATTGTTAAAACTGCTGAGCAGCACTCTGAAGAAAAGTGAAGGTTTTGGGGAATGACTTTGTGAAGCAACTGCAAACAGAATGCAAAGACAACCGAGAGAAGAGAAGTGAAGGGTCAAGGGGGTGGTCAGTCCCTCTGCTGGGAGGGACAAGTGAAATGATGTTGATGTCTCTGGCTGTGGGCTTGACTTGGTGATGGTGGGAGCCCTGTGTGGCCTGCTTTAGGAGGTCATGTTGCAGCATGGGGGTGAGTATGAAGGTCAGGCATCAGGCTCTGTGTTCAAATGCTGATCTTGGTGGCGGGGGAGTGGTTCATTCCTAGCATGCGTGAGGCCCTGAGTTCCATCCTCAGCATTGGATGAATATCTCACTTTGGGTGAGATGGGGCTCTACAGCTAACTCCCAGCAAGTTGTAGCATCTCCCAGTCCTCACCATAATCAACAGCTGCACCTTCCTGGTGTAACACAACAGTGAAGGAGGTAAAGGGGATTTTGCCTACTTCCTAGGGACAACAGATAAGAACAGAACACACCAAGAACCTCACCATCTAAGCTCAGAGTATCCTCTGAATGGGGACAACCACCCTCACATCCTACCATCCCCTCACCTCAGCTCTTTGGAAGGTCTCAATTAAGCAGAAATAGGGACCAGTCCTCCATCCCCAACCCACTAGAAGGACCTCAGAGCTGTTGATTCCTGAGGAGTGCCAGCCTTGGTCCTTCCCATGCCTGACATTGTAGACAGAAGCCTGGGTCATCTGTTAGAACCAACCAGGACCAAAAGGCTGACACCATACTTAAGGCAAAGCCTTGCTGCCACCTTCTTCAGGCCCACTCTAAGCGGGGGTCGGGGGGAGACTAGGCACACCTCAGAGCCACCCCTGCCTGTGCACATGTCCCCTCACCTGCACTACCATGTAGTAGAAGAGGAAGATGAAGTAAATGATCTCCGCTGCCACCACAAAGGGGTGCCAGCCATTGGTAAAGGGGTACAGGCGGAGGCTCTGCAGGGCCACGTGTGTGAAGAAGGTTCCTGGAAGCACAGAGTATATGTCAGTCCAGGCCACTTGCCTCTCAGACCAGTAGACAGGCTGGAGGACAAGCTCAGACACTTCCAAGGGGTGGCAGGATCAGAGGAGAGGACTCAGAGACCCAAGGGACTGAGTGTGGACACATGCTCGATGCCATAGACCATGCACACACTGGAAGGGATGAAAGGGGATGCACTGGAAGTTCCACGGGACACATGGCCATTCATGCAGTCACCTCCAGCAAAGCATCCACCCCATCAGCATCAGTCCTTGCTTTCCTCCAGCTGGCTTGCTTAAAGCCACTCTACTGCAGATCAGTCCATCTGGTGGCCAGTATGCCTAAAACCCAACCTCCTTTTGAATATTTTTCCTGCACTTGTGTGTCTTTTCCTTATTTTCTGCTAATTGTTGTTGGTGGTGTTTTGTTCTTTTTCCACTGTAATGATATTTGGGTGATAATGTTGTAAACTAGTTTGACTGGTGAGGCTGGTGGAGACAAAGTCAGCTAAGGGTGACAAGGAAGACATGGAAGCCATCTGAGCCCCTGAGGGACTTCAGTGCTTGGCAGACTCCATCAGCCCTCCACAGACTTCTTATGTGTGCAAACACAATTCAATCAGGGGAGGTTTGGACAAGTTATTTTAGAGTTCCTTAAGAGACAAAAAAGGAGGCAAAAATATACAAATAACTCCAAAAACAAAATTAGAAAGAATTCATTGACCGTAGGGACTGACAATGGAAGTCAAAGCCTTTTACTTGTTCACTTTACACAACTTTGAATTTTTATTTATTGTTGTTATGATGATGATCATGATGACGTGGGTCAGTGATGAGCATGTACTCTACCACTGAGCTGCATCCCCAACCCTTTTTATTTTTTATTTTGAGACAGGGTCATGCTAAGTTGCTAAGGCTGGCCTTGAACCTAAAATCCTTCTGCCTTAAAAATCCTTTTATTGGCATTACACCGGGAAGGTGCAGCTGTTGAGGGCTGGGAGATGCTACAGCTTGCTGGGAGTCAGCTGTAGGGCCCCATCTCACCCCAAATTAGATATTCATCCTATGCTGGGGATGTAACCCAGGGCCTCACGCATGCTAGGACTGAACCACTTAAAATCCCTTCTGCTGGGATTACAGGTGCACACCACCACACTTGGCTTCAACCTGAATTAAAAAAAAAAAAAAACACAAGCATATGTTACGTTTTTCTGTGTATGTTATGCTAGGTCTTGAACCCAAAGGTACTCTACCACTAATCTACATCCCCAACCCTTCTATTTTTTTATTTTTTGAGTGAGGGTCTCGCTAAGTTGGACAGGCTGCCCTCAAACTTGAGATCCTCCTGCCTCAGCCTCTCAAAGTGCTGGAATTACAGATGTGAGCCACCATAACTGGGTGAAATTATGTTGTAATTATAAAAGTAATATATAATTGCTGGGAATGATGGCACATACCTGTAATCCCAGCCAACCAGAAGACTGAGGCAGGAGGATCACAAATTCGAGGCCAACCTCAGCAACTTACCAAGACTTTGTCTCTACATAAAAATAAAAGGGACTGGGGATGTAGCTCAGTGGTAAAGTACACCTGGGTTCAATCCCCAGTACCACAAAAAACAAATAAAATATAATTTAATATTTTCTAAATGTTCAGTTTTTAGTGGAGAGGAGGTTGAGTTTTAGGCAAATTGAGCATTAACTGAACAGGCTATAGGTTGGTGTTTTTAATAGCCTATGATTAACATTTTAAAAGAGGAGGCAGAAAGGAGGGGATAGAATGGGAAATAGGAGAGCATCCCATGTAGTTGGGGAAAACATTTTTTATGAAGCTTTAGTTTTGGTTGTATACAAATGTTGAATTGTTATATCAAATGTGCTTCCTAGTGTAGATTGATGCACACTTTATAAAATGTTCTTTTAGGTAACGTTACCTGTTAACAGGTAACCTTCACCAGCCCCTGTCTAGAGCTTCCATTTCGCTCCTCCAATACAATAGAAAGCTCCAGAATGAGCTGGAAGAGCTGCCTTCAGGCTCCAACTGTGTCACTTTGGGCCAGAGAGAAGAGGGGAAGAAGTCTAGGCCAGCTCTGACACCTTGATTTTGGGGGCCCAGGGATGTACAGTAGCAGGAAAAACCAGAGCCACCCCCAATTTCCCATCCCAGCTGGGTCAGGAGACCCAGCCCAGAGGAGACCCAGCAGGGGAGGCAGCCCACCCAGGCCACTGGTCTCCAGCGTGAGTGTGACGATGCAGAACAGGTTGACATTGGCATTGTAGACGGTGAACTCCACAAACACTGCTCTAGTCAGAGTATCCAGCCAGGTGTTGTCAAAGAGATACTGAAGAATTCTGTGGGAAAGAGCAGCATCTGGGGCATCTCCATCCTGTGGAGGCCCCTGCCCCTCAGCCCTGGATGGGACCAGGGTTTCCTGTTTAAACCTCCCTTTGCCCTTGCTCTGATCCTTGGCCACCAGGATCGCTCCTTAGAATGGTCCCACTTGGCCAGCCCTATCATGATATCTGGTACCCACAGTCTCTTGGCCATCAGAGCAGAAGCTTTCAAAGGATGGTCCCCAACCAGCATTTGGGAACTTATTGCAGATTTTCAGGCCTCACCTCAGACCTGCTGAATCAGAAACTTGGGGCTAGAGGATATGTGCTCTGATGAGTCCTCCATTCAGGGGAGTCTCATGCTTTTTTAATGACAGCTATGATATTGGAGGAATGCCATAAAACACCAGGGGCTTAGGCAGGCAGCAGCTGCAACAGTGAGGTCCTCTGGAGGCTGGTAGCTCACAAGACCAGATCCTGGGAAGTTGTCAGCTGACTGTAGCACATGTTCTGACGATGGCCCATGACCATCAAACCCTGAATGCCCCCTGTACAACCTAACCACCTCTCCAGGCCTTGGTTTCCTCGTCTACCATAGTGTTAACACAAGTCCCTCAAGATCATTGCGAGGAGTGCTTGCCTCTGCACCCACATGTATGCCCATGAGCATAGTAACAATGGCTGGAAAGGGATTTTTCCCCCAACTCTGAGAATGCAGTTTCTAAGGGCCTGAAAACATAATGAGTGCTTCTGAGTCTCCCCCGCCTTCCCAAAGTGACATGAAGGAACTTGACTTAGCCCCATTTTGAAGGCTGAGTCTTCCAGTCTAACATGGATTCTAGAAAATTGCTCCACTCAGCTACAAAAGAATCAAGTCAGCCTTACCTTGATGCACTTTGGAGATCAGTCCCCAAAGGGACCACATAGCCTCCTCCTCGGTACACAGTGAGTTTGCCCCACATGGGATAACCTTGACGTTGGCTCTGGCTCTGGTACTGCCAAGCCTGGGGAAAGCGGTTGCTATTATTGAGGGTGGAGGCATTCCAGCCTTCTCCATAGTCTGCCAGGTCTTCAACATCCTGGGAATATGGCGCATGACATCTGTCCAAAGAAGCCTGCAGCTGTTGGACCAGAAGGCAAGAGTTTTCCCGGATCCTCACTTGGCGAATGTGGGCACTGCCAACTAGCTTGGAGTTTCCATCAGTGACAAAGCCTAAAGATGAAAACCACGTCAGTAAATCTAACTATCAAAATCATCTTAACACATTCCAAGCTCCCTGGCCTGGACGCTCCTCTGAACTTCAGTCTGCCCATCATAGAGACAGCCCAGAGAAGCTCGTGACCAACCATTATCTACTCTCATCCCAACGACTTTGCCATCTTTCTATCTTGGATTTACTCTATGCCCTCCATAGGTTCTCTTGGGGAATGGCACTCCTCACCCTAGCATCAACTTGGATACCATCTGTGCCCTTTCCCCTCAATCCTCACACTCTTTTGGAGGCAGGTATTGAGGATTGAACTCAATGACACTTACCACTGAGCTACATCCTGTCTTTTTATTTTGAGACAGGGCCTTGCTAAATTGCTGAGGCTGGCCTTGAACTTGTAATCCTCCTTCCTTAGCCTCCCAAGTCACTGGGAGCAAGCTCTGCTGTGCATGGCTCAACTCATATTCTAATGTTCACCATATCCCAGCATTACCACCTCTTCCATGTTTTATGTACCCATCCCCTTCTTTCCATCACACTGTCCTCTGACTCTGCATCAGCTCCCAGCATGTCTCCCTAGCATCTTGACTAGCCCACCATCTACCCCAGCTTCCGGGTGCTTCCAGAATGATTCTTATACCACAGATTTGTGTTGCTCCCTTATTGAGAAAACTCCTGTGGTGCCTCCTTTCCTCAAAGATAAAAGGTGAATTCAGCTCCTTCACAGCCTGGTCCCTGCTTCTCACTGGTCCTTAACTCAGACCCTACATTGTCACTATACTCAGTGCTGTGTAGTTCTTAGGATGTGCCATGGAGTGCCCAGGCTCAGATATTCTCGTGTTGTTTGTCCTGCCTAGTGCCCGGTTTTTGCCTAGCCAATGTCTGCTAGCTTAACTCTCATTTAAGATTTCTCCCCTCTGCTTCAGAGGAGAGTTAGTGACCTTCCCTGCACATGCCCAGCTATCCAGAGGGTCTCCTTCAATAGCATATGGCTATTGGAATAACCACTCGCCTATTCATTGCCTTTGTTATGAGGCAGATTGTGGACTTGCACCATCTCATAAGGAGACCGTATTGTCATTGACCCTCACTTCCCCAAGAGTAGCATGCAGGGACTGTACCTGTGTAATGACCGTACAGGTTGTTCACAAGGGTGGTGTTAGCCCACTCGAAGAACTCTTGGAAGCCCAGCACAGCTGAAAAGCCTCGGGTGAAGCTGTGTTCGAGGTGTCTATTGAAATGGTAGGCACTGGGGTCCCTCTGCCCATAGGCCACCAGCAGTAGCATCCATAGGAAGCCCAGGTACGCTGGAAAGGAGGCACAACCGCCAGTCAGGCAGGATTCTCGACTCCACCAAGTTAGGGTAGAACGTGGATGGTGCATGGCTCAGAAGAGTGGAGGTCTCACAGAATAGCCCTTCCCCTTTGGAATAACAGAGCCAATCTTCACAGAGACTGCAGAGAGCAGTGAAGTCCTTGGACCAGGAGGCCTCCTGTCTGGGTTCCAATCCCAGCTGTGCCACTTGCTATCCACAGGCCCTTTGCAAATGATTCAGTCCCTCTGTGACTCACTCCTTATCTGTGGAATTTGCATATAATTTTCTGGCACAGGGTTGTGAGGAGGTGATCAGTTAATATTTATAAGCACTTAAAACAGAGGCTGCACAGAGTTTGTGCTGTGTTAGTGTAAAATAGAATCATTTAAAACATGCATCTGCCCTGTTGCATTGCTGAGGACACAGTAATGAAGGAGTCAGTTGTATTTCCTGTCATAGAACTTGCCTGGCTCGCTGGAGACAGAACGGTGTGATGTGAGAGCTCACCAGATGCACACATCTGATTCAGGAGGTTCTACATCATAATCACTTTGGGGAACAGATTCCTACTGAGCCAGAACCTTGGCCTAGGCCTGGGGAACATTCTGAGGACTCTTCCCCCGAGGACCTGGACAGATACCAATGAGTAGGACAGTTCAGGACTGTACTGCACTCTCTCCCTGAGGCCCCCAACAGGACTGGGCCCGCTCACTTCCTTCCCTCCTTCTACTCTCCCTTCCCACCACTGAACCCAGGGCCACCTCCCAGATGAACTCCTTGCACCCAGATCTGCTCTGGGGAACTCAGAGGAAAATGCCCCCTGAGATTTGGGAACTCCTGGCCAGAGGGCCCAGGGAAACCTCTGTGAAGACACAGTGATCAGGCTGAGATTTAAAGGATGAGCAGAATTATCCAGAAGAAAGCTGGGGAGGAAGGGTGGACACCTTCCAGGCAGGAATCATCTGGCCAAAAGAGAGAGCCCTGGGTCCAAGGTCTGTAGAAGCCACTGTGGCTGGAGTTTGGGGCACAAGGAACAGAGGGGGTTTCTGCAGTGGGTGGAGCCTCAGGAGGGAACTCAGACTTCATCCTAAGGGCCCTAAGGACACTAAAGGATTTCAAGTGTAGAGCAGAAGCTGGGGTAAGTTGCCATCTAGGGAAACTGAGGCTCAGAAGCCGGGAGACACTTGGCAAAGACTGTGCAGTGAGTGTGCCAGGTCTGTGCTGAGACCCAGACTGGGAAGCCTGCCTACCCAAGATTTCTCTGCTTAGGGCAAATGCTCTCTGTTCCTTGAGGTGGGTGGTTTTCATCTTCTCAATGGCGGTGGCAAGAGGTGGCTGATAGACGGGCTTGCTGCTGCATCTTCGTGCTCGGAACAAGATGTAGGGGCCTGTGGGAACAAGAATGCCAGGGCAGTCCCCCAAGCAGGCAGTGGGACCAGGCTCTGTGCAATCAGAGATGCCGATTGTTAGCACTCTTCTGCTGTAGCCACTTAAGGGAGCGCACTGACCCAGCTACCTTTTGGATCCATGCCCCCAGTGACTCCTAACACCAGAATTTGCCATCTCTTGCCTCCCTACTGCCCCCCCCTCATTTCCACATATGACCTAATATTTTTGGTTCTCGTTAGCAACCCACAGTGATCTTTGTAAAATCACAAAACAGATCACCACTCTTCTGTTTAAAGACCTTCTATTTAAAGATCTCAGCTCGTCCAAGACCCTGCCTGATGCCTCTCTACCTTGTCTTTAATCATCACCTCTACCCCCAACTCTACCTGCTGCAGCCAAACTATCCATAATTGTTATAAAATGACAAGTTCCATCTGGCCCCAGGACCTTTGCGTACACCACTCTACCATCCTCCCTTCCTTCCCCCTCAGCAGAGGCCTGCACTGGTCCCTCCCAGCCCTGCTCTTAGATTTCAATTTGTGCACTTAATTGCTTAATGTCATCTCTCCAGATGGCCTGTTTATTCCAGAGGCAATGACCTGATCCTTCCAGGCAGTGTCATGCTGCCTAGGGCAAGGGTGGCGTGGAATTGACTTTAGTTGGGCAAGAGGGACTCTTCAGGAGTGACAGATCTACTTAAATCTGAATTGCAGTGAAGGTTACATAACCCTCTAAATTTATTAAAATAAGCCAATTGTGCACTAAAAATGAGTACATTTTATGTAAATTTTGTTCTTGAGCCATCATGGCTGGCATGCAGCCAGAGCTCTCTGAAGAATGGCCAGAGAAATGGTGGAATGAATGTTTAATTGTGCCAAGGCTGGCATAAATTTGGAGATGCCAAATTGGAGAAAAAGTACTCTGTTCTCCTCAAAGAAGGTTTTAATGGGCCTTGTGGATCTGTAGAGCCAACACTTTCTCCTAGAAAGAAGAACATGGTCCGGGTTGAGGCAACTGCACTGAGTGATCATGTGTGAACAGGGGCTCTGGTTTGTTTGTTCCTGACTTATTTTCCCTGAAGGTTGAGATGGGTTGTTAGAGGGTTCGTTCTACTTGCTTTGTTCCTTTGTTTTTGTACCCTCTCAGTGTCAGCGCTCAGGAATTTCCATCTGGAAGAACTACCTTGCCCAGGGACTTGAGTCTCAGGAAGAAAGCTGCTTGCTTGGAACACACAGAGAGGGCAGCCAGGGTAGAGAGAGGGAGGTCCCTGAGGTGTCTTTCTGGATGAAGGGTCATGCTGGGGTGTCAGAGCAAAAGGCTGGCGAGGGAAGGAACAGGCTGCTGGGCAGACAAGGGGCCACTTTTGTCTGACTGGTTTGGTGTGGCTCCCAAATCCAAGGAGAAGGCTGGAGGAAGACCGCCCGCCCCCCTAGGCTGCAGAGGCTGGACTCTGCAGTTGTATGGCCTCCTCAAGACCACTAGGTGGCTAGGACTCTGCTTCCACCCACAGAGGCCCCATTACCTGGGCTGGACAGATGTCCTGGCAGTGGGGGCATAGTCTCCTCCTCCTCCTCCACTCTCTTCAAGACCAGCGCAAAGAAAGCAGCAAAGCCCAGAACCTGCAAATCACTGGGGTGAACCCCGAGCCCACCCTGGAAACTCTTAGGGCTGGTCCGAGAGGGACAGGACATTTGTGTGCTGGGCGCAGGAGCCAGGCTCTGGGGCAGGCAAGTGGGAAGCTGGCCACCCTTTGCAGAGAGGGAGGCAGTGAGGAGTGAGAGCCACCAGCCAGGTGGGGTACTGGCCAGACTGGAACTCACCAAACCTGCCCACCTCTACTCACCCACAGAGGACTTCCCCAGCCTGTGGGCTTCCAACATAGGGGCCCTCCTCCTCCTCCTCCACCCCGTCCTCCAGCCTTCACCTACTCTGCACAACAGTAGGGCTCTGCGGGGTGGCTGGGAACAGAAGAGTCAGGACACACCTGCGCCCTTATTATTCTAGCCTAGTCTGTGGGGAGTTCTCGAAGGTTTTGAGTCTTATCATAAAGTCTGTTCAGAGTAGAATGGGAAGCAAAGGATAGAAGGAGAGTGGGGTCTTGGTGACATCCCACAGGCGTCAGGAGTCACCAAGTGCCCCTCCTTTCTGCAGCCCCCACCCCAACACTAACTCCTCCCTACTGCCAGGGGTTCCCCAGAGATGGCCTGTTGACTGCTCCTTCCGAGGTGAGCTGGGCCCCCACCCACCCAGCTCCAGGTCAGGGCTTGGTGTTTCTTCAATGCTAGCACGCTTGTTGTAATTTTACCTTTCGGAAACAGGGCATAGCTCCTAATTGGTGCAAACACTTAATGACTGAGCATTATATTATGAAGGAAAATTTCTTTTAAATTGCCGTTCTCTCATAATCAAAAATATCTTAGAATTAAGGAAACAGGGTATTCATATTTATAGATATACATAGGGTCCAGGGCAAAATGTTTGTGATCTTAACTTCTCCTTCTTCCCAGGTCCTTGCACCTGTTAGGCAAGCTCTCCCACTGGCTACGTCCCAGCCCTGGGGTCTTAACTGCTTCACTGCAGGTCTCCTCCCCTACAGAATTTCTCACCATTCCATAATCTCACTTGGTTATGAAAGCAAGTCTCTCCACGCAGCACCAAGCCTGGCCCCGAGCGAGTGTCGGGTAACATGGGTTATTATGCCGAGGCCTTCATGACCCTCCCTGCCCAGAGCCTGCACAGAGGTGGTGCTCCATGGAGGCTCCTTGAATGCATCCATGGCCTAAGCCCAAGGCAGGACCAGTCATGGGAGGGTAAGGGCAGGTGGAGGGAAGAGGGTGGCACTTTGGAACAGGGGTTCTGACCTTAAGGGGCTGAGTGATGAACACACTCTCCACCAAGGACACAGCCATGGAGATGAGCCACCGGAGGGAGCTGGCCCGCCCATAGTGCAGTCCATAGAGCATCGTGAAGAAAGCCGCCATACCGCCCGTGGCCACCACCAGGAGCCAGCCCACCAGGACGCACCACCAGGGCAGGCCACCGCGGGGCCTCCTGGCCCGTGGAATACTACAAAGGAAGAGTGGACAGTCAGGGTGGTACCAGTGGCTCAAGTTCAAATCCTTTTCTGCCCTCATCATCTACATGACAGTGGCCAAGCTCCTTGACCTCCCAGACCCTCTGTTTTGTCCTCTGTAACCTGCTACCTCAAAAGACTATTCTAGGTGCTGGGGTTGTAGTTCAGTGATAGAGCGCTTGCCTCGTATGCATGAGGCACTGGGTTTGATCCATGGCACCACATAAAAATAAATTTAAAAAGACATTGTGTGGGGTTGGGGATGTGGCTCAAGCAGTAGCCTGGCATGCGTGCGGCCCGGGTTTGATCCTCAGCACCACATACAAAACAAAGATGTTGTGTCCGCCAATAACTAAAAAATAAATATATAAAAAAAAGACATTGTGTCCATCTACAACTAAAAAAAATTAACAGACTAGAGTCTGTCAAGTACAAGCAGTCTCATTAAGGTCTGCTGGAAGAAAGCCCCCCAACTAAACACTTTATACAGACTTGCTCCATTATTCCCTCATAGCAATCCTAGAAATGGGCTCTATATAATTTTTTTCACTTTTATCATGAAAAATGTCTCATCAAAAATTATCAAGCACAGAAAACCCTAGGTACAGCAATTGATTCCCACATTGTCACCACCTTGACATGCTATCCCATCTGTCCCTGGCTTCCTTCTCCCTTTATTAGGGAATATTTAAAAATAAGCTCCAGACATAATACAAAATCTAATTACTTCAAAGTGCAACTCAAAAATGATCATTTTCTTACCAAGTTACTATGCCATCATCACAGCTAACAAATGAGTAATAATTCCTCAGTGTCATCTAATAACCTGTCTGTAGTCAAATCTCACTATTTATCTTAAAAATATATAATTTGTTTTAAGTTTGAAACAGGAGATACCCATTATCATTCCCACTTTACAAGCGAAGGAGGCTCAGAGAGGGACTGGCTCAAGGGGGCACAGCTAGGAAAAAATCCACACGAAAATGGCTACAAATTGTAAAGTGCTGTGCCCAGGGTTGAAGGTGTCTTCCAAGGCAGCCTGGTTCAACATGCTTCCTGCAGGAGTCCCAAGTCCCTTCTGCTTAGAGGTCTCGGGTGAGAGCATCCTCCTAAGGTTCCTCAGGATAGGATGCCCTCTCCCACAGCCCCCAGGCTGTCCTGCTCGTCACTGGGAAAGCGGGTTACCTGACATATGCTGGGGCCAGGATGCCCAGCTGTCCCCCCAGACAGCCCTTCAGGGTCTGCAGCTGCCTGAGGGCCTGGGCGTGGCTGTGGCGCGGGAAGCCTCCGGGCCCCACCAGTCTCAGCTCTTGCTCCAGGTGCTGCAGCTGAAGGTAGAGACACTGCCTGTAGGCGCTGCCCTTCCAGGGACTGCTGGGGGCCAACCTGGGCTCCTGGTACTGTGCTTTCTCTGGGGGGAGAAAAGAGAAAGCCATAGCTGAGCTGACTCGGAGCCAGTTCCAATCAAGATGGCAGCCGGGACAGAGGCAGCTGCCACCTCCCTGAGGATCCTAGAGCCATGCCCACCATGGCCTCGTCCCATCTGTAGACACTTCACGTGGTAAGTCGTGAACTGGAAGCATGTTGTCTGTGAGTCTTGATCTTGCTTAAATCATAAAACGGTTCAAACAGAAAAGTGGAGAGTGATAAGAAGAAACCCCACACCCTGACACCCAGCTGCAAAATCAGTTCCCATGTGTTTTGCCAGCACCCACCCCACTATCCACATGGATCATTTTGAAGCAAATTCTGAAGTTTGTATCATCTCATTAAATAATTCAGTATATTTATGTAGAAGAGAAGGACTTTAAAAAAATAACCATGGCATTATGAATCTTTAGTAATTAACAATATTCCCATCAAATATTCATTCAGAGCCCAAGACCCCCTGATAATCCCATGAATATTCTTCCACAGTTGCTTTGTTCAAATTTCAGATTTAAAAAAAAAAAAAAGGTTTTGATTTTTTTGCTGTTCTGGGGATAGAACCCAGGACCTGCACATGCAAAACAAGTGCTCTACTACTGGGCTACAAACCCAGATTCTCTGAAACTTTTTAAACATCTTTCGTTGTTTTAAATTGCAAAAGTACCAGATTTCTTGGGAGGAAAAAAAAAAAACAGATTTCCACTATTCCTTTTAAGAGAAGCATGCCTTTTAAGGGAAACGTGGACTCTACAGGTGGAACCAGGCCCCAGTCCTTGGGCAATGGGCTGGAAGGCTGCACCCAGGACATGCTGTCCTGCCGTGAGGGCTGGGCTCTGAACCCCTGTTCACCTTCCCAGAGGGTGTGTGCAGCTGGACACAGGAGATGGCAAAATGGAGCCCTCCCCTGTGATCCCGTCCCAGTTGCCAGTGAGAGATGAATGGGAATAGTTTGTGTGCAAAGAGAAGACTGTGGTGGGAATGTGTGCCACAGCTAGATCCTTGCCCTGGGCCTCCCTCACTGAAGCCTCAGCTGGAGAGTCCAGCGCCAACACACTCTATTGCAGGGCTCATGTTTCCAAGAAGGTGCCATCCCTACCAATCAAAACAGAACTAACGAAATACCTGCTTTGTGTCAGGTGGGTGGGGGGCTAAGCCTTCTATATATCTTACAATCTTGTTCAGTTCTCACAACTAGCCAAGAAGCCAGGCGGATTAGTGCCCCCATTTTATAGAAGAGGAAACTAAGTCTCAGAGAGGTTGATCAACTTGTCTTAAGTTGCACAGTTGCTATTGCATTGGGAGTTCTTGAGTCAGGCTGTGTCCTTAATTCCAAAGCCTCCCAAATCAGGGCCAAGAGTCCAGTGAAAGCAGAGCCCTTCCAGGATGACCTTCATGACCATGGGGTCAGTGTGGCCTGGCTACAAAGGCCCAAGTGCTACAGTAAGGGGATAGGACTTCATCTGGAGGACAGTGGCTCTCCAAATTCAAGGTGCATGAAAAGCAGCAAGGTGCCTGGCTGGAAATGCACATGCCTGGCCTGCCCCTGGAATATTTAATCATAGGGGTTTGGACCAAGATTATGAATTCAAATCACCCATTCTATAACCCACACTGTGTTCTAAGCAAAGTTGAGACGTGACAAGTCTGAGTGCTAACACCCATTACAGCCATGAGGTGAGCAGTTTTGTTGTATCACAGGCTCCTGCCACGATGTTCTGCCTCACCCTAGGCCAAAGCAACAAGGCCAAGCCACCATGGACTGAAACCAGGAACCTTTCTTCCTTTTAAATTGATTATCTCAGGTATTTTGTCACAGTGATGGAAGCTGACCCAGATGGGAAAAGGATCAAGAGGAGAGTAAGGAGAATGGATCAAACCACAACAAATGCCATATGTAGGACATGAGACAATGTTACTAAATTCTAGCTGGATATTATAGCAAAAGACACTGAATTTGAGATCTCCTACCTCTGCCAAACAAGAGATCAACAAGTGGTAGAGAAGCATTAAAGATTTAGTGGCTCCAACTGAGATTTTCCTTGACTTATGGATTAATTAGGAGGATTGAGTAGGAATAGAGAAAAGAACTTTGTCACTCTGTGAATCAATGTCCTTTAATGTGTTCTGCTGCCCTGGTCGTCCGTCATCTTGTGTCCTGCCCCACACATTTGAAAGCAGATCTGGGTCAACTCTGCAGCGCTGACACTTTACAGGAAAAGGAGCATGGGGCACAGAGAACTGAAGCATCCTTCCAAGGTCACAGAACGGGTCACCCCAAGACAAGGCAAATGGGTGGGTGGCTCTCACTTCATGAAGTTTGGGGAACAGAAAGGATGGTGCAGACTTTAAACAACTCTTTACACAATTTATCATTTGGCCACGAGCAGTGAATGTAAGGAGAGGCATGGTGGCCAAATAGCAGGGGCCCAGAGCCTGGGAGACTTGGGTTGCTCCCCCAAGAAGGATGCTTAAGACAGAACCAAATGTCGGGTGAGAAATGGCCAAGCAGAGAAAGGGTGAGTGACATTCTAGCCTGCAGGGCCAGAGGGGTCCAGGGCATAGTGAAGGCAGCCAGGTGTTGGGAGGACAGCTGGGTGCCTGTGGTGTAGAAAGGGAGGTGACTGCAGTTTGAGCAGAGGCAGGTAAGGGTACCACCCTGTGACCCTCTCCCCTTGGCTCCAGAATTTCCTTTCTCTGGGCACAGAAATGTCCAGGCCTTACCCTTCACTTGTGCAGATCCAAGAGTGAGTGTAAAAGGTTCTCCTCTCTTTTCAGCCTCTTCCTGGAAGCCCTGCCCCCTTGTGTTCTGTGGACGAATGAGGTCTTCCACCAAAGCCAGGAGGTTGTTGATGTCCATCAGGCCCACTGAGTCCCCATCGACGACTGGCGGTGGCACCTTCAGAGCTTTGAACAGCGAGCTGACAAGTCTGCACACATCCTGCAAGGCAGCCCCGTGGGGTAAGCAGACAGAGCCTCAGGGGAGGGCATGCTGCTTGGGGCAAGGGCACACGCCTGGGCTCAGCAATCTGCATTTGAACCCCACTCTGCCCACTGAGGCATAATCGGGACCTCCCAGGACTTCTGTCCACCACCTCTAACATCTTTTTCTAGGATATAAACTGACTCCCTCCAGGCTGTGTTCCTCAGAGAGGCACATGAGAAATAAAAGCATATCCAGTGCAGAAGGCAGCAGGAGTCTTCCGTGGGCTGCCAGCCTGGGAGGCTGTACCGAGTGGACTGTTTCACACAGTAGGCACTCAGAAAGCACATGTGTGTGTGGGTACACATTTGTGTGTGTGTGTGTGTGTGTGTGTGTGTGTGTGTGTATTAGCTGGTGAATCTTGGAAACTGAGGTTGAGATGGCTTGAGGCTGCTGGGCCCCAGCCCCACCCCCACTTCTGCCTGAGCTAGAGTACCCCCTCGCACAAGCTGAGCTTGAGGGCATGCCTTGGTCACTGCTTCAGGTGTCAGAAGGCCATCCTCCATGGGCTGTGGTGCAGGAGTCATCTTGGGGGTCCCCCAGTCCTGCTTCCCTGTGGTCTGCTCCTTTGGGACCCGAGGACGGGTGTTTCGAAAGATCTGGACAATCAAGAGGTTGATGGGGAACATGAGGATGGAGCTCTCCAGCCCGATCATCACTTCCTGCCAAGTGAACTCAATTTTACCTGGGAACAGGGAGGAACAGGGCAAAGGAAGACACAGTCACCAGGAGCCAAGTCCCCTCCACTGCTTCCAGAAGGCGGCTGTGCAGTGAAGGATCAACCGGGCCCTACTCCTGGGATGTCACCTCAAAGCCTTTGGATGTCTGGCCTGGCAAAAGTGTCTTTGTTTACCCGGGGAACATGTCAGATAGTCTGGGCTTGACAGTGTGATTTATGGTGGGCCTGAAGCTTAACTCTGGGGGACTGAAGGCCAAGATCATAAGGTGGGTGGCCAGCCATGTCTACATGGCTGGGCCCTAGTAAATCTCTGGATCATAGTGGCATGATTAGCAATGAAGACCGATGTCCACCAGCCACTAGCTCTGACCGTCATGACAGCAGGAATTACCCAAGTCCATCTTTTGCTCAGCTGGGTCCTTGGGGACACCCCAGAACATGATACTGGTCAGCATGGTGCACAGGAGCAGGGAGAAGCAGCAGGACACCCTCTGAACGCGTGTGAAGTTGCTCCGAGCTGAGCCGCTGAAGATGGAATACCAGATGTGTCCTTCCTGGAAGCCCGTGGAGGTTTTCATGAAGAACAGGTGGCTGTGGGCAGGCAGGGAGAGGGGACAGGTGTTTAGAGAAAGAGGAGTGGGAGACCTGGTCTCTCTAGCTGCACGGGATCCCAACCTGCTCTCTTCTAGCCCTGGGACCTTGGGTGAGGGTGCTAACAGCTGCACCTCAGTTTACTTGTCTGTAACCTTGTGAGGCACTGGGTTCAACTCTCAGCACCATATATAAAAAAATAAAATGAAGGTCCATAGACAACTAAATATATATATTAAAAAAACCCACAAAACTTCTTAAAACAAATGTGGATAACAGCAGACCCTACTTTATCACGTGGTTGGAAGGATTCAAAGTTGTCATTTTTGTAATGCATTTGGGACAGTAATAGCACACAGGTGAGTGTTTAGTGTTCACACTGTTATTTGGGGGTATAGTTTTAGTATAATAAACTATAATATTATTAATTTTGCTATAATTAGATTATTATTAGAACATGATTAAAAACTCCTGGCTCTGCATTCAAATGGGATTTGGTTTGAGAGAATAAAAATTGTAAGGCAGATTCCCAATAATGGCCCCCGATTTTCAGTAAAAATTCAAATTGTTTCCTGTGAGTATAATGGAGTTTAACCATAGGAGCTGCTCAGGGGCCCAGGTCCTCCAGAGTGCCCAGAACTGAGATTCCTGGGGCAGGCCTGTACTCATTAGTCCATGCCCGTGCCCTCCGGAGCTGTCCAGTACTTTGACCACCACACTGAGGCTTGTGAGTGGGCTGGACTTAGGGGAAAGGTACACAAAGAGAGGGCTAGTGGCCAACAACAGTGATTTTCCATGTCATCCTGATCATTCATCAAATATTTGTTGGGCACAGTACGTGAGCCAGATACTGCTGGGCACCAAGTGCAGTGAAGAAAGAAAAAGAACCTGAATCGTTTCCTATCCTGCTCTGTGGCCACTGGAAACACCTTGTCAAGGACACAGTCTCCAACACTGATGGACAGCCATGAGTTGCAGAGGAAATACCACTTCTGGTCCATCGCCAGATCATAGACCAGCACCCGGCTCACGTACCTGGAAAAGGGACACGCAGTTGTGAGGATAAGGTGTGGGGAAATGAGACTTCCCTGGGCACCCTGAAGCTTAACACCTCTACAGCCCTGAACCCCAAGAACAGGAGCTGCTGGAGAAAGAAACTGCATTTCACTTCATTGACTTTGGCACCTTGATCAAAACTGGCCTCCTGTGGGGAGCTGGGGAGCCGGCTCTGGGAGGCTGTGGCTTGTCCACAGATGAGCTGCAGGAGGGCACATTTGGAAACTCTTGGCCCTCCCTGTGGCACCTGGCCAGGGCCAGTGTCCAGCCATGAGTGAGTACAGCCAAAGCTGTCGAAAGTGCAGGCAGGTGCAGTCAGAACACGCTGAAATGACCCTGTCTCACCTTTCTAGCCACACAATCAGGCCACCATCTATCTGGACCTGGGACTTCAAGGGCCTCATCTACCCTGATTGAGGAGGCCTGAGGAGGAAATGGGAGCATCTTGCTTGTCCTGGAGGTCAGCTCCAGCAGCAGCTCTCCCTGTCACTGTACAGCCAGTAAGGACAGTCACAAGAGCAAAGTCATTTTCCAGTGTTCACTGCACTGTGCTGAGAGGCACAGGCATTTCTCATTTCAGGGAGGAAGGCCCATCAGGGGTGTAAGTCACTATGCCAGGGTCATGTGACTAACACCTAAGGATGCAGGGAGGGCCTGGAGTGAACAAGACCTGTGACCAAAACCAGAGCATTGCAGCTGGACCTCAACCCTGCCCATCCTGTTCCCTTTCCTCCTTCCCAGGTCTGATCCTGGACCCCTTAATAGATACCCAACACACTCATCTCCAAGTCAGAGTCTGCTTCCGAGGAACCATCCAATGGCTGAGGCTCATAAGGTGCGGATATTTAATCCCTTGGTTTAAATAAAGACAGTGGTGTAAATGCTGTGTTGTTCTAAAGCCTCCATCTGCTGATGGCACGCAGGCTGACACCATTCATTTAGGTCACTAGTTTGGGCCTCAGACATAATGGGGAAGACCTTGTTCTGAACTTGCCGCAAGTGTCAGATTGTTGCTGTAGAAGGGTGAAGGGTAGGCTAAGCCTGGACACCAGGGCTGTAACTTCCAGTCCTCTTGCTCCCGATCTGATTTGTGTGGATCATGAACCAGGTGGTCCTTCTGACCCCGGTTTCCTCATCCTCATTGAAATGGAGGTCCATTCTGCATGTTTTGCGGAGGCTTATGAGGGCCAAGAAGGCAACAAATGTGCAGTACCTCGCCCCAGCCTGGACTGTGAAGGTCCTCATGGTTTGCTTTCTCTGACTCACCAGGATGGCCGGTCCCCTGAGTTGTCATGCCACAGCCTGAGGCTCCGCAGTTCTCCAAGAGGGAACAGGGTAGAAAGCAAGAAGACATCCACACCTCCTCGCTCAAAAACTGGGGAATCAGGGTCTGACAGGTGATGGGGCTCACTCTCTCCATCCAGGCCATAGAGGGTGACAGTCACCTGAAATCCAGAGACCAAGAGTGGCCATCTTCACTTGGGGACTGAGTCCTGCTGGCCTTGCTTAATTGGGGTGGCTAGAAACCAACAAAAACCAATGAAGCACAACCCTTTTACCTTTTCCTCTCCTCCCGTCTTTGACCTGCCTGTTTTTCAGTTGAATGCAGATTTGGGGTGGCCCTAACTGCATTCATGTCTTCAAGATCAATTAAGTTCATTTTTAAAAATGCTTGCTGGCAACATTTTCGAACTTCTCATATGTTTATTTGTAAGGGCTGTAGGGCAAGAAATGGTTTCCTTCCTGTTCTAATTGTCTTTTCAGTGCTTCTGAGTACCTGGCACTGGGAGTGAATAAAGGAGTACCCACTGCTTCGAGAACACATACTCCCAGGGCCACTTTAGAGCTTCCAAGTAAGAATAGTGCAGATTGGACTGCACTATTTTTTTTTCTGAAGCTATCCAGGAAGTGCTGATCTGCAGTGCCTGGTTTTCTGAACAAAAACAGCATCGCAGCAGATCCTGCCTGTGCTGCCTGCAGCCCTCAGCCTCACACAGGTAGTACTCCCTGCACTGCATCCAACCGCCACCCCTGGCGGCTCTTTCCCCAGGGACTTTCTTTGGCTGTTAGAACCAAAGAAAAGCCAGAGAATGAATGGCCCACACCTGCTGTTCTCATTGTGGGAGGTGGCTGACCAGTGCCTCAGTTCCCTCCTCTCTCAGATGGGATATTCTGGGGACACATGTTTGTCACTATTTTTCAGTCCCCCAGTGGCCTTAGACTCAGGTGCCCACAGAGATAACCAGTTTGATCAGGTACCTTTCATCGCCTGCCTGCCTTCCCCTGTATGGCTTCCTACTCCCCTACTCTCATTCCCTGGGACTCCATCTCTGATGAATTATTTGCACTTCAATTCTTGTGTCAGAGTCAGCTTCTATAGGAGTGTTTTCCCACCTCCACCATTGACATGGGAGCCAAATGCCCTAAACCTTGCCAACTGTCCCCTCGGAGGCAAGATCACCCCAGTGGAGAGCCACTACCCTAGGGAAACCCAATTAAGACAATATGCCTGTGAATCGGGGGTTTTTCATTCCCCTCCTATTGAGGTCAACTATTTAGCATCCAACAGAAATGAGATGGATAGTTCATTGGCTGTATGAAAATGATTCCTAGTACTTACATTGGGTCAGACAGCTGATCTAAGACCTAAGATACAGCGATAAATAAAAGTTTTAAATTTAAAAAATAAAATAAATACACATAAATAAAAATATAATTAAAAAAATAAACAGAGAAATACCCTACTCTCATGAAGCCTGATTGCATTTTCTAAAACAATGGAATTTTCCCCAGGACTGTGTACACAGTGATGATGGTGCCCAAACTGTGCACCATGGACCCCTCAGTGTCAGTAAGGGAACGTGGAGGCGGCTGCAGTGGATGATGTATTCTGGCGAGGAAACCAGCAAGGAATATAAGACATTACAGAGACAGCCCATGTGCACTCCATCACTGAACTCGAGGACTTCAGAGAGCCTGTAAGTAGCAGAAATACTCTCTTCAATAGCCCTGGTCAGCTGCTGGAGGACAGGCAGTCTGCAGACTGCTGAGCCCTAGTCCAGCTGTCAGCCCATTGAGAGTTGTAATTCAAGATTTTTCCTTCCTTCCATTTCCCCTTCTCTTCCACACATTATTTCCCATTTTTCCTTGGTAAGTTTACCCAGTGACTACCTCCTCCGTGGGTAAATTTGCTTTTGGTCAACAAACTGAAAGTCAGCATGATTCTTTGGGAGAAGGGAGAGATGAACAGCTAGACCCAGCGCTCCCTGAACCACTCCTCCTCCTCATTTTAAATATTGGGGCTTAAGGTCATATTTTGTATGACAAAAAGATTATTTTTTCTAAGATTAAAAAAAAAGAAAAGAAAAACTAGGAAAATATTCCAAGAACACAAATCCAGTGTGCTAGTCACTATGGCAGAGCAAGCACTTGGATGGGTGGGACATGCAGATCAGTCCATGGGTCTCCTGTGGTGAGGTACCTTGGAGGACGTGGCTGCCCCTCGCCGGTGTCCTGTGTAGACTGTCACCAGGTAGTGGTACTGGGCAAAGGGGTCATTGTCCTCCAGCACTGTGATCTTCACCTGAACAGAAGGACAGTGTCAAGAGGACCCTACCTGAAACATTTACCCATCACACACCAGCCAAGAATGAACTGGGCCCTCATGAAATTAAAGGGCAAAAATAAAATTATGTATGCTATTTATCATTCCATCTGGTGAGAGCTGTACCTTATAAAAGCAGGGTTTTAAGTAAAAAAAAAAGGTTGGCAAAAATGAAAAAGTTTAGATTGCATTCCTTATTAATCATGACCCTATGTGGTTAAATTGGAAGTGAACTTGGCACTAATCTGAGAACATTCACATTTGAGCTAGAAAACCATACAAACTCTTTTCACATTTAATTTCTCGTAACATTGTAACCAGATTTGCTTCTGAGGTAATTTGAAAGGAATGAAATGTTAAAATAGTTTATCAAAAACAAAAACAAAATCAACAATCTGGAGTTGATCAGAGGCTGTAGTGACCCCTGAGACGTGCTGCTCAGGTATTCCTGCAGTGGGAGGCTTGTTACTAGGACTGTTGTCAAAGACACAGTGGTCACCTCTTTGAAGTGGTGCCTCCTGAGGCACCTGGCATCCAGTGACTTCTCTGTGAAGTGCCTGGGTATGATCAAGACCTGGGCCTCTCAGCTGGGCATGGTGATGCACACTTGTAATCCCAGCAGCTCAGGAGGCAGAGGCAGGAGGATTGCGAGTTAAAAGCTAGCCAGCAATTTGGTGAGGCCCTAAGCAACTTAGTGAGACCCTGACTCAAAAAAATAAAAAATGGGCTGAGAATGTGGCTCAGTGGTTAAATGCCCCTGGGTTCAATCCCTGGTACCAAAAAATAAAAATAAAATAAACACTTGGAGTCTGCTTTCTGGGAACCAACCTGCAGCTGAGGCACTTAAATATTAATGTTTAATCCCTTGAGTGAATCAGAACAGTTGCATGAAATGCTGAAACGATTGTTTACTAAGTGTTATCTTGTTACCATCCTGAGTGGTGCTGCTGGGGAGGAGGGCTGAGGAATGGAGAGGTTGCAGAGCTCTGCCACAGTGCAACTTTGCATCCACTTCTGTGTTACCTTAACTACTGAAGCCCTGTCATGAGTCCAACGAGATGCATATGTGGGAAAATTAACACTACTGTCATTTCAAACCATTTGTTGCATAACCTGCTATTGTTTGGCCATGGTCCTATGCTCAAGGAGAATCTAAGTTTACATCCCAGCTCCTGCCTGATGACTTTTAGCCAATTAATTGACAGCTTGGTCATTTGCTACCTCATCTTGAAGATGATAGGAGTACTGTGCAATAGAGGAAACACTCAGCAAGTTTGGGGTGTTCAGATCTTACACATTCCAAAGAAAGGATCAGCCATTGTATAGATCCTGGGAGGTCATGTCTAAGTTCTTGGGAAATCCTGTGTAATAAGAGAGCTTTTGTATTTCTGGGGCATGGGTCAGGCCAGATAGCCTATGCCCAGTATGACATGTGGCAGGAACTTTGGGCCATGCTCTACCAGGCTGACTTTGTTGAGGGACACTGGAGAACCAGTACCTGTGGTCAGTCAGATGGATGCTCCCTACCTCTGTGGCTGACTTCCAATCAAACCCAGAACACCACGCTCAGGTGAGCTTTCCTGTTGGCAGAACTCCCCATGTGCTGTCACACGGCATGACTGGGAGAGTTAAGTCCCATCTGTGGACTTTCCAGGAAGGAACAAGCAGAAACTGTGCCTGTCTCTCCTCTGCCCCTGTTCATTTTAACCTGCATCCTTTCACTGTAAGAACCCCTAACCATGAGCTCAACCACTTTTCTGAACTCAATGAGTCTTTCTACAAACCATTGAACCTGAGGTGCTCTGGGACTCCCAGCAACAGTACCTTTCTCATTAGGCTGCTGTGTTACATGGGAGTCAACTGGTCCTCAGTGAACAATCAGCATTGTATTCCTGACAATTTGAGAAAAAGGGACATTTTTGTAGATAAAGAGGCTGAGGGGCCAGTTTGCTTGAGATGACCCTAGGGGCTAAAGCCTGGCTTAGCAGTTAGCTCTCAGCAGCTCACCCAGGCTCTCCCCCTGAGGCCCCTGCAAGGGATGTCCCCTTACTCTACCCTCCCATGCCCTGGAGCACACAGCCTCACCTTAGCCTGATCTTGCGCATCCTTTCTCCTGGCCCAGATCACCACCAGCACATAGACCACACAGAGGCAGCCAACGGTGGTCACCACCACAGGGTTGTCCTCAAAGGTGGCAAAAAGCTCAGCAGTCTGGTGAACATCAACAGCATTGGGCATCACCAGGAAGGTGCTTCCGAAGAAGGTGAGGTGGTTGCAGAGGCAATGGGTCTGGGAGGGGGTGGTCTGCGGCCCCACCTGCAACCCCCAAGAGACCATGGGTAGAAACGCTTGGGAGCTCATCCCTGATTCCCTTATGCCCACGAGAAAAAAAATGTCCACCTTGGGGTGGACCCTCCGCAATCAGCCTTCTGTGTCCACAAACTCAGTCAACCTCAGTTGGGGGAGGGAGCAGGGAAGCTCACCTGTATTGAACATGTAGACTTTTCCTTGTCATTATTCTCTAAGCAATGAGGTATGACAATGATAACGTACCATTTTAGTTTTATTAGGTAATATCCTGAGTAATCTAGATATGGTCTAAGGCACACATGAAGATGCGTATCAGTTACGTGCAAATACTACACCTTTTTAACAGGGACTAGAGCTTCCGAGGGTTTCAGTTTCCACAGGGAGTCCTAGAATTCATCTCTGCTGGATACTGTGTGACAACTGTACTAGGGTGTGGCGCCTCAGGATTCCTTTGGGATTTTTATATTAAAAATTAATTTTAGGTCTGGGGGCATAGCTCAAGAGCAGAGCATGTGCCTAGCATGTGTGAAGCCCCGGGTTCAATTTCTACCACTGCAAAAAAAAAAAAAAAGTTATTTTCCAAATTCAGAGGACATTATTTCTAGCAAGCATCTTCATATCCACATTCTCACTGTGTAGCTCTGAACATCCTGACAAACTGCCTTGCCTATTTAGAGACATGTTGAAGGTGAAATTTGTCCCTACCCCAAGACATAACCATTTTTTTTTGCAAACTTGGGTGTGTGCCTCCCATCCTCAGCACACCTGATGCTCTTTCAAAAAAAAATTAATAGATAAACCCCACAACTCAGTACTGCCCTTTTATTCCAAGGTCCATCTCAGGATGGAGGGGTTAGAAGACTGGCATCTGGAAAGTTCTCTGCTCAAGCACCAGTTGAGGAAGAACCTCTCCCACAGCCCTGTTTTATGACCCAAAGGTAACTCTTGTCTCTTTCCTTTTTTTTTTTTTTTTCTTTTTTGTACTGGGGCTTGAACCAGAGGCACTTTACCACTGAGCTATTTCCCCAGCCCCTTTTTATTTTCTTTTTGAGCCAGGGTCTTGATAAGTTGCTGAGGGTCTTGCTAAGTTGCCCAGAATAGCCTCCAACTTAGGATTCTCCTGCCTCAGCCTCCCAAGCCGTTGGCATTACTATTGTGCGTCACTGCACCCACCATCTCTTTTCCTTAATGAGCCACCAGAAAGTCCCACACGTGGGCACAGTGCCAAATCTTTATTAGAATTTCTGGTGGTTGTTAGTGCTGTGGTTGCTCATTGTTTTTCTCATTGTTTCCTAAACCTAGTCATCATTTGGCAAGAGCTGTGGGCCTTACATGAACACCTGTCATGCCTCTAAGGAATGGGGCTGGTTTCAGAGAAGAGACTCAAGCAGGTGCCAATGATAAGACCTCAGTGCTGGTGCCTAGAGACTGGTCTTGATTTAGGCCCAACATCTTTCCGTTGAGGGTTTCCATAAAGACCTTGAGGTCAGTGGCTTTCCCAGCTTTTTTCCAGCCCAGGGTTTTTTCTCTCTTTCTGACAGTTCTGGGGATCCAACCCAGGGCCTTGTGCACACTAAACAAGCACTTTACCACTGAGCCACACCCCCCATAAGGTCCCTTTGAACATCAGTGAGTAATCTGTGGACCCTCCTGTGACCACAGTCGCACCTTTGATAAATGAATATCAGACCCCTTGTGATGATTCTGCCTTTATCCTGTAAAGGTCCTGAGGTTCAGACATTTCTTTGGCTATTTAGAGAATTCAGTGGTTTTCCATTCACTCTTGAAAACCCATTTACTTATTTACAACTCTGCAATGAACTCTGCATAATGATCTAATGTCTCTATGTCTGTGTCTGTAATAAGCATCAAGTCCACCATTGGATTAATTATGATTTTTGGTCCATACATAATCCCACACATGACCTCTGAACATCCATGGTTTTATATGCCTGCATTTGTAGATTCATCTTTTAATAGCATAATAAGCAATGCATCTAAGAACTTACCACTGTAATCAAAAGCTAAAAATCTTCCAGTAACAGGTTTAGCTAAGTAGTCTTCCCCCAACCCATTCCCAACTGCCTCCCAACCACCATCTCAAGCCCTTGGTCATTGTGTCCTTGATTTCTGTTTTACAGCATTGTTATCAACTAATCAGTGTTTAACACAGCAATTACTTTAACCACTGGAGCACCCACTGAGTGCCAGGCACCATATTTAGTATTTTACACCCCTAAGCCCACCCACCTCTATGTGGCAGCTATCCCTCATTCCCATTTTAGGATAGGTAAGCTTAGAGAAGTGGGGTGACTTATCCAAGCCACGCTGCTAGTGTAGAAAATGAACCTAAGTCTATCTGATGGCAGAGTCCACATCCCCAGCCCCACACCATCCTGACATCTTGATCCCCAGGCCTTTGAGGATATCTCTTGGGGGCATTTCATGCTTTCCAGGAATACACTGGCATCAGAAAAGATGACACACACCCAGGGCTGGTACCTGAGTCTCAGAGGCTTGCATGGGGAGTGTGGGGAGCCTGCTTTCTCTTGGACATCTCCATGTGCCCCTTCTTCCTACTGTTTTGGAGGCTCTCTGAATGTGGCAGCCCAAAGCCAGGGCAGAAATTGACAAGGCAGTGGAAGCCACCGGGGAGGAGCTCACTCTGAGTCCCTCTGTGGCTCTGATGGGACATGGCTTCTTAGGGCCCTTGTGACAGTTGTTAATAGACATGTGCCATTTGCTTCTTGTCTGTGTCCTCTGCTAGACTGAGAGCTCATTGGGTCTTCTCACCATATCCCTATCGCCAGGTCATGGTGAACATTCAGTGAACAAAAGAAAGAAGGTGCATGTGGTCTATGTTGGGACAGGTGATAGATTCAATTCCACATGGAGGCTGCTGACCTTGGGAAGGGCACGGAATTTAGTGGAAATCCAACAGAAAAGGTTCTGATAACTGCAAGGCCAATGTCTGTCCCAGGACATTGTCACAGGCCTCAACTCCCTGGGAGCAGAGCTGAGTTGACCTGAGACAGGGGTTTGATTGCAATTAATAAAGCCATGTGCCACCTGGGGCTTAGCAGGACTCACTGAGTGCTGGGGAAGTGACACCACATATTGCTGAGGTTGTGCTCTGGACAGAAGGACCTGGCCTTGAGTCCCAGCTCTTCCACATATCAGGTGTGGGATTTGAGGCAACTTAGTTGAGTCTCTAGAGCCTTTGTTTTATTGTCTGTAAAGTGGAATAACAATTCTCTTGAAGTTCATTATGAAGAGTTGACAAGCTAATTCAAGTAAGCACAGAACACTAGTCACTCATCCACTTGTTCAATGATCATTTGTCCCCAGTAGTGAACAAAGCACAGCATCCCGGCCCCTGGGGCACCCAGTGCCCTGAGGGAATCAGATATCATTTAAGTGACAGGCAGAGGCCAAAGACCACCTGCTCAGCAGTCTGCAGGAGGGGCATGCCCTGTGTTTACAACAGGAGATATGACCTAGTCACACTCAAGATCAGTTTTCTTGAGGAAGCAATGCTTAGGCAAAGGCAAGGGGGCATTCTGGGCACAGGAATGGTACATGCAAAGCCCCTGGAGGGGCATGAGACACCATACCAGAAGCAACAAGAAGGGACCTACAGGAGCCAGACACTCCCTTCCAGCCCACCTCGTCTTCTTTTTGCTCCCTCTCCTTACCCGACATCCAGAGTTGTCCCAAGTCTCCTGGACCTCATCCCAGAACACACAATGGGATAGGAAGGTGGTAATGCTGACAGTGAGATTCCCACCAGGGGCAGGTTCCAGGTCAGACTCAGGGACCACTGTCAAATAATAGAGACCTTCTCCAAAGGGCAGGTCCTCTGGGCCCAGGATCCATGTGGACAGCTCATCTGTAAGAAGAGGCTTTGGTCACCCAGAAGCCTCACTGAGACTGGAGCTGGTATCATGGGAGAAGGGGCACCAAGATGACAGGGTAGGGAAACACCCTGAAGTTCTCTCCCTTGTCCTAGGAGGACTTTACCTCCTGATAACAGGAACACAGAAGGGGCACCCCTGGTCAGTGTATAGAACACATCAGAAAGACAGGGGTCACATGCTAGTTCTGTTCCTTGTTGGTGTGTGGGATCTCAGATCAGTTACTTAACTTCTCTATTATTATCTTCACCCCAAGAGTTGATAGTTGCCACTGCCACCTCACTGCATTGAAGTCAGTTCTGTGCATGCTTAACAGCATCTTCGGGGTACATAGCAAATACTCACCTAATTTTGGCAAAAAAAAATAATACCACCAACAACAAAAACAAGCCACTTAAAAATGTGGCACTTAGTTTTTTCTTTGCTTTTCCCCTCATGGCTTCTGATCCTCACAATTAAAACTGAGATGCCTGGGAGGGTCCCCAAGAAGAGGACATAGGATTGGGAGACTAAGGGGGAGTCATTCCTGAGAAGCAGCTCAAGAAATAGCCCAGGGATCAGGGCTACCTGGAGCAGACACTGGTGGCAAATGAGTTTGGGCATCATAGCTGGTCTTGTTGGGGTGGTAGCCATAGCCCAGGCTGAGTGTGAGTGGGATTCTGGGTCTGCAGTGCAGCTGGATGCCCAGAGCTGCCTCCTTTGATGTCACGTTCACCCACAGAGCTTCAGAGCTGGTCAGGCTCAACACAGTTGGCTCACTGTGTCCTTCCACAGGCCGGGGCAGCAGGATCTGTCATCAGAAACAATCAGATCAAGAGAAGGAAATGCCAGTCAGTCAGCATGAGGGCTGCAGTGCAGAACTGTGCAGGGAAAGGCCCTGGGAGCTGAAACCAGTTCTGCTTGTGGTGTTAGTTTCCTATGGTTTCCACCGCAGATGACCACAGACCGGGTAGTGCAAACCAATGCAAATTTGTTATCTCAGGATCCTGGAGACCAGAAGTCTGAATTCAGCTTCACAGGGCTAAAATTGGCAGGGTTGGCTCCTCTGCAGGCTCTAAGGGAAAATCCGCATCCTGGCCTTTTCCAGCTTCACGAGGCCACCTGCATCCCCTGACTTGTGGGCCCCTGCCTCATGTCACTCCAACCTCTTGCTTCTGCTATCAAATCACCTTTTCTTCTGGGGTAGTCAATACCCACCTCTGCTCACTCTTATATTCACAGGCTCCAGGGATAAGGTTTCATATAACCAAGAAAACTTGCTATGGACCCAAATGTTGGTAAATGAGCACATATTTGTAGTTGCAAGTTAAACACAATGGTTAAGGTAGGGTAAGGATCATTTCGAATAATTCTCTTTAACCACTGTTTTCATAACTGGACAACTTTTGATCCTTCCAGGTTGGAAAATGAAACAGAGTGCCATCTGGATCTGACTGCACTCCAACTTCTACCTCGATATCCTCCGGTAGGTTCTTTACAGGGAGGAGCTGTCCACTAGGGCTGGTCAGACGAAGGTCACCGACAGTTCCGCTGACATCAAAGTGACTTCCAGCCTGGAAGGGGCTCTTTGGGAAACTCATCATCTGAAACCAAGAGCAGGGAGCATTGGCTAAAGCCTGGAGGGGCTGGAGGTAAACAGTTCCTTCATGAATGATGAAGTCCTAAGAGGGCGCAAATAGCCCTTGCCCTATGGATGGTGGGGGGACCTTGCCTCAGCTGCTGCTTTTCAAGGTATGTTTCTGGCCTCCGAGGGTGGCCCTGGAGAGCTCAAATCAGACTTGCTTTGGCTGAGCAGTTACTAGACTATAAAACCATCCAAATCATCCTTCCCTCAAAGGCAGTATGTCTGACCACCGTATTTTGGGTTCTGCTCTATAGATTCAACTCACTGTGGATCAAAAGTTTAGTCACACCTGGACTAAACAGGTACAGACTTTTTTCTTGTCATTATTCCTTATAATACAGTCTAACAACCATTTACATAGCATTTGCATTGTATCAACTATTACAAGTAATCACATGTGATTATTAGTAATCACATTATTAGTAATCACATTCTCTAGGTACAGAGACCTGGGAGGATGTGCATAGATCACATGCAAATACTATGCCATTGGGCATCCACAGATTTTGATATTCACAGGGAGTCCTAGAACCGGTCCCAAGGACATCAGGGATGACAGTCAGTCTCTCTAAGGGGAAGACTGGTCTGCTCTCTCTAGGTACAGGGAGTTGGTAGTCTGCTGGGCCTTAATTTGGGGATGGGAAGGACCCCTGGTCTTGCCAGTTCCTAATTATGGAGCTCAACCTAGAGAGCTCTCTTTCCAATGACTATTGGAGAAACAGGAAGGACATGGGCATCCAGAGCTGTAGGACTGAATCTCAGCTCTACCCCTTACTGTGACTTTGGCAAGTCTTTGAACCTCACCTATAAAACAAGCATAATATATTATGTAACTGACAGGGCTGCTAGCCACATAAATGAGCAAACACCGCGACAGCACTTTGTGAACTATAAAGGGCTGACCCAGAGAGGTTATTGCTATGTTACCCTTATATCCACGGGTGACTGGCTGCCCTCTGTAGAGAAGAGGGGGGCCACAGCAGGTAGAGTGAAGGCCACAGAGTTAGCAGCAGCAACGTGCATTGGGGAGCCTTGCCGACTCTGAGGGTATATTCTGGCCACAGGATGGAAAAAGACAGAGGAGAAAGTCAGGAAGATTCTATACCTTCTGCCCTGCAGGGAGCCCAGCTTTACCAGCAGAGAGGGCAGCTATATTTTGATGCCTTTAGAAAGTTCTACATGTTTGAGCCAGTAGATGTGGCACCAAAGGCATCTGGTCCCCTGTGCTGGACTGGAGACTCCATGAGGACAGAGCTTTGGCCAAGTTTTTCATTGCTGTACCCCTCAATTCCTACAACAAATATTTCTGAATGAATAAATGAGCACAGATGTAGACATTTGTCCAGGTTTATCTCCCCCACCTCCCTCAACCTTTCATGTCATAGGCTCCCAGCCCCATCTTTCCTGGTCATTGACCTTGTCCCATTTGAACAGAGGGGGACCTGGTTTCAAATCCTAACTCTGATCTGGATGCTGCTTTGGAAACTTCCCCTGGGGTCCAAGAAAGCAACCCCAGAACAAGAACCCAGGAGAGCAAGGCTGGCTGGCATTTGGTGCAGGGAAACACAGCGACACCTGTAGCATCCCCTGCAGTCAAGTGGAGGGTTAGAGGGGGAAAGCTCCCAGTGCTGGGCCAGTGCTGGGTGAGAGATGAGTCCCCCATGGAGAAAGACCTGAGGTGAGTGTGTCTTGAATCCATGCAGGTCTTTCCTGGCTGGCACACCGGGACATGAGATCCCCGTGGATCCTAGACATGTTGGGCCAGCCCCATTCACTCAGCCACCTTGCCTGCACACCTCTGATATGAACTTCTCTTGGTGTTCACTCAGGTGGCTCTAACCCTGGGCTTGGCACTAGATGCCTCCCTTCCTGACCTGTATAAATACTCACCAATGTGAGAGGGACATTCTCTAGGTACAAAGACCTTCTCTAGGTACAAAGCCCTCCTGGGTCTAAAGCCCATCCCTTATCCAAACCCCAGGTCTGGTCTCCTAGGCCAGCTGTCACAGGGTCTTGGGATGTAGGTGTGGAACGAGTGAGGTTAGAGCATGAAGTTTTTTTTTTTTTAAAGAGAGAGTGAGAGAGGAGAGAAAGAGAGAGAGAGAGAGAGAGAGAGAGAGAGAGAGAGA